GCTGCTCAACATAACTGAATAAATTAAAACTTAGATGACAAAAAAAAAAAAAAATAATAAATTAAATTAAAAACTTGGTTGCATGATATTCCTTAAAAATATTTGTATCATTACTCTGAAAATTATACAATAGTAGTATACAATAGTAACATATTTCTGTCATAATTTCTTCAAGTTAAACCAAATTTTTATTTTGTCGGGTTGAAAGTTAAAATATAATTTAATAGCAACGTTGTAGTTGTTTTTAATTATTTGTTTGTTGTTCATGTATTCATTGTATTATTGTATTATTATTGTATTATTTAACTGTAGTGATTGTTTAGGTGTAACATCAATATTTTCTTGGCATTTATATCTTTTTACATATACACTTGCCAGCCACTTTACAGTTCACCTGTTTAACTGCTCATTAAGGCAAATATATAATCAGCCAATCACATGACAGCATTTAGGCATGCAGACCTGGTGAAGACGATCTGCTGATGTTCAAACTGAGCATCAGCATGGGGAAGAAAGGTGATTTAAAGTGATTTAATGATTTAGAACTGATGAGTCCCAATTTCTGCTGCGACATTCCTCCATGACAGCATTAATAAATTGTATAAATAAAAATAATAACCTTTTTTTTTTTTTCTTTATTTACTACTGTTTTTTGTGTCATCTCTACCCTTGTAATTGGTTTTTGAGTGCTGATCATTTGTGTGTCCAGTGTTAAGGACCATGTATGCTGAGTTATGAAAGGTTTTTTCATACGTGCTCCTAGATGCCTCATTTTTAAATACTGTTCAAGGTAATCTCATTTATATAATAACTATTATGCTGGGAGCAAACGAGCAGACCAAACTAGAAACCAATACTGCAAGACTACAAGGAAAGGTTACTGCATGCAGCTGCAGGGACTTCAGCGTTTATATAATATAATGCATACAATATTAATCGCTCTCACTCTTATTGTTTGCACGCTAAAGAAATGCCAACGCTTGCGAATACTTTAGATGATGCACTCTTATATTATAGCATATATAAGTTTGCATCCTTATATCGTAATCATTATGATCACAAGCTGTATACACTGTCTAATGTGTGTCTGCTTAAATGCATGCTGTTAACTAACCAAATAACATGTATTACCTTACGGACAATACTTTGACATACTCATCTATGGCTGATAACACAATATTTCCTAATTGTAACTCTGAAACAAGCATTTTCTGTAAAGTTGCTTTGAAACAATATGTGCAGAATGGTGAAAAGTGCCATACAAATAAACTTGAATGTGCCTAAGGTTGCAGACCCCCGTGGTAAAGGATGGTTCCAGCAACGCCAAGATCCAGGCATTGAATGCATGGACAGGTAAAACACAGACCTTGCATGCACTGTGAGTCACTTAGGATCCAAACATCTGCCAAATGCTTGTTCATCCACTATAAAAATGAAAAAAATAAATAAAAACACATACATAGTTTATCAGTGCACCAAACAGTTTGTCGACAACAACCGCAAATCCCCTGTCAGCTGTATGAGAGAAGGAGCCAGGAGAGATGCCCCCCAAACACGGAGAATCCCTCACTGTTGTGTTGAAATGTTGCAGTGGAGACGTCGCTGCCAAAGACCAGGCCTGAACAATCGTAGACACGGGCAGGCTGCGGGTTTGGCTGGCTTCTCCATCAGCCATCAGGCTTCCCTCGTCCCAGGCAGGCGCAGGGCTAGCGGGGGACGAGCCCAGAGACAATAGAGGTGTTTGGAGCCAGAGCTGCCTCTAGCAAAGCAGCTTTGGCCCAGCCCTCGTGCTCCAGCCGCATCAGCTCCAACA